ATGTAGGGGATTAGAGGGGTTATAGTCTAAACTCCTAGTATCCCCCTTAATATACCCTATAGTAGTCCCCTATATAATCCCCTATATAACCCCCCTTTAAGGAGTTTAGACTATAGCTCATGTGGGAGCAATGAAACCACGCAAGGAGTTCTAAAAAAAATGTGGCCAGCAGGGACCCCCAAGAATATCAGGACATTCTGGGGTTCTACCCGGGGACCAGAAAAGGATTGTGTTGAGAAACGCCTGCAGAGCCCTACGTGATTCCTACACACCTGTAGTGTTTCTCCTTGACCCCAGCTACGAGCATTCCTGAGTCAGGGTAGAAGGACGTCTTGTCATTGAATTCTTTGTAGCAGTTCTGACAAGAAACCCACAACGATAAGCTGCAAGAATGCCGCGTAGGATCAAGCTTGAGGAATCAGGACCTGAAGCTCAACACAGAAAAAGTCTCCTGCTCTATAATCTCTAGCTGAGTCCATAGCAGTGGCAGCCACAGTTCTCTGGTCGTTGCCACCTGGGGTGTATCACATGAAGGGCGTCATGGGATCCTCCAATTTGTTCAACTCCCCGAAGCCCCATGAAGATTTAGTATATAGTATACTTAAAGATTTGTGACTATACGTACAACCCAACAGAATCCAGATGCAGCGAAGCTGCTTACTGTTGACAGCCTAGAGTACTAGCCAACTAGAATTTCGACCTGGGCCATTCGTTGCCAAGCATCATATTTTGCAGTCGTAGGGCAGCCCATCACTGTACCGATGGCTGCAAGAAGACTATGAGAGCCAGTGTTTCTGGAAATTCGGCCGAAAATCTGGTCTATGTTCCTCAGGATGAGGACTCTGGTACACAAACACCGAGGTAGCTTTGTTGCCAGTCAGGTTAGCAGGGAAGAAAGAAATGGAGCACTCGTGTTGTGGCCCTTCTTCAGCTGCAGAACAGGCTACGGAAGTTGAGCAACACTCCATGAAGTATGGTTTATAAGGTCAAGAACACCACCACTAGCTTCCGGCATTCCGGAAGGCTTCCCAAGGTCTCCATACAAAACAAGATGGGGGAGGCCTACATGCGGACCTATCTTCCAGTGGGGACCTATACCAGATCTGCTGTACTTAGAAAACCCTGCGAAAGGCTCTCTCAGACCAGGGCGTTCGAGCAATGCCATCAGCTCCTCAGCTGTGCTGCCTCGGGGTCTACAGCCGCGTTTCAGAGTGTACTTACTCGTTGTGGGAAGCATAATTTAAGCTGCCATAGTGTCTAGGGTTTAGGGTTCTTGCGGACCGGAGAACGGTCCCTGGAGCCGCGGAGGCTGAGCTCGAACCCTGTGTCTTGCAGACCTTGCTCCAACTATCCTCAACTGCAGGTCACGGTTTAGGGTTTAGGGCTAACACACACCTAACGACCCAGAAGAAAGAGGAGTAAGTCTTAATCCTTAAATCCTGGACCTCTAGTGGCTCTAGTAGGCCCACCCACTTCAATCAATGGCCATGCGTGCAAAACCCTGCCCAGAGAGGAAAAGACCGTGAAACCTTAAAAAGCCTTAGAACCTTCGATTCTCCGCATGATTTTCAAGATCTATCCTTCTTTGGACGGTTTTGGGCTCTCCGATCAGAAACATCCAAAATCTCTTCCCCCTCATAGGTCGCAGTAGAAGCCAGCTGAGCTGGAGACACTGCTCCTCTGTCAGACCCTCCATGTACACCTGACGCCAGCTTAGCTGTTCAGAAAACTTACATTCATGTACTGGGTAGTGTGGGGCTAACATTATCCGGGACATATACGGTTGAGGGTCTAGGTGTTAGGATAAAAAATCACAAGAACAATGCTAGTGCCTGAATGATTCATGTAATAATTGGCAAGAAAGGTACTACAACTTATGCTAGTGAACATCGAGCTGACTCCTTCGTTTAGGGCACCAAGGGGTCTCACAGGAGGGCACTGAGCCCAATAAGGTGCGCATAGGGTTTCGCGACCACAGCATTGACTTCAGCCGTGTCCTTGCGTTTGCAAGAACAATTCATTTCTGAGCTCTTTTGCCGTGATGGAACTATTCTACGATAGTTTATTTTGAAAGCAGCTGGAAGGCTCGGATCATCGAGCAAAAGGGTCCTCACCACCTTTTTGCGTGCCTAAATCCCAAAGCCTCAAGTCTTAGTCCTGAGCGCAACATCCTGCAGTATAAAACATCACAAAGCTTCCTTTCAAACCCAAACATCATGGAGCCACAACACAAAACAGGAACCCTCTTAGGAAGTCGCTGTGCCATTCTTCTCCTGCCGGATGTTCAGCTTTGCTTTCGACGCATCTGAGCGCAGGCAGCGCAGGCTAAGAGCTCCAGGGAGTTGGGGTTGGAGATGCGTGGAGGGTCGGTCAGGGGCTCCAGGATTTGAGACGGACCGCGCGCAAATTCTAGCTGACATAACTTCACTGCATTGCTGCTCTTCTTGCTTCATAGTATTGATGTTCTCCTGATGTTGACTGACATTCCCGTGCTTTACACCGCTGAAGCTGTCAACACGTCAACTGTTTCCAGCAGAAACCGAGCTCGCAGCTGACAGTCCCCTTTGCTAAGAGGTCCACGATGGCATTACAGTACCTGAGAGCTTCTGAAACATGTTGGGCACCATCTGGAGTACTTGTACTGTTGGGCCCCATTTTTAATTAAAAGCCAAATCCTCAATCCTCTCACTCATGTGCCACTTCACTAGTTGACAAGTAGACATATCTAGGTCGCAGGCTATCAGTACTGTGCATTCTGCATGTGTCCTACATGTAATTCCCTGCAGACAGGAAACCCGGGGCTCGCAGAGAGGGGTGAAGCCAGCAGCTGGTAGATCCACAGGGCAATGGGGGAGAGGCGCGTTCACGCCTTCCTTTAGGATATGCTCTGATCCAAGCGAGATGTTTTAACACTTGTTGCATGCTTCTTGCGCAGCACTCCGGCAACGCCTACTTAAACAACTGGCCGTGTCTCGAAAAGAAGGTCCCCCCACATCCAGAACCCAGCAATGCTTTTGCTCCAATCGAGAAACTTGGCCCCTCAGATAGGTGCTACTACTAGACAAGGGCTGTAGGACATAGGGACCCCTGTTTTGAGACGCCCTTAAATCGGCACTGCTACAGCAGGGCGACTCTCTTCACGGGGAGTGAATTGCACCTATCACTCTCCTACAGGTACCTGCACTTCGCCGTCACCCCGCTTCTCATGAGGATCCCCATCTTCATCATCACGAAGTTACATGGTCACTATGCTTACCTTTTGCCGCTACTGGTGCGATCACCAACAACATTCAGGACCCACTGCCTAGCCTACAGAATCAGGGGGCTTCTGCCATCTTCGGATTCCCACCCCGCAGCCGCCGCTACGAGCTGTGCCGTAAATCATCTTAAATCATATGGTGCATGCTGCAATATCGAATTCTCTCAGGCTCCTGGGTAGTGTGCAGATACTATGGGTTCTACCTGTGTCTATCTGAGCGCCATAAACAAAACTCACAAGATTGTCTTCAGGAACCTTCTAGACTTGCCTTAGTTACCAGAGAAGCTGGCGACGTCTCAGAAGAATCTTGAATCTTCCTTTGGGAGGTACTTGGAGCTGGCCTTGTGCCGGGGCCAGCTCCCCATGATGCCATGTTTGGCGAAGGACAGAACGAGCAAATCAGGCAGCTGCAAGGTTGAAGGATTTGACAGGACTTGCCTTGCCAGCTTGATCAGTTGCCTCAGTTCAGTTGTAACTGTCTTGCTTACTTCCCTTAGATCAGCAGTCTCTGCATGCGCCACACAAGCTTTCAGCTCGTTCTTGTTGAATTTTGTCGGCTCTGAATTGCAAACGATCAGCAGCGCCTGCAAACGCATGTTCACAGTACGTGCTGCAGTTGTTGGCAGCCCAGATACTTCCATGTGACTGATCACCTCGGCAGCTGACACAGGTTTTCCAGCTAGGAGATGCGCTTTGCAGCGGGCTCGGTACGCGAGCAAATGTGGCTTCACGTGCAGCTTGTTCACGAACAGGTCCCACAACTCTTCCACTCGTCTGCAACCATGCTTCGAGCAAGCAGCATTGACAAGACTGCCAAGTACTACTTCATTGAGGACCAGCTTCTGTTTGCAAACCAGGTGGTCGACAAGCTCATTCACTCGAGAATGCTGCTTGCAGTTCTCGAGCAGCGTGAGCAGGGGAGTATAGGCGATGACATCGAGAGAATACTTCTGCGTCTTGACCCAAGTGAGAAGCTGCTCTGCCCAGGGAAGCGAGTCCTCACCAACCATCTCACAGACCCGCCATCTGGCAGACACCGCACAACGGAAGTCAAGCTCGCTTCCGAAGGCTGGCATGATGCTCCATGCATGCTTGCCTAGCCTCAAGGCTTCTGCCTTTCGCGCTGACAGCTCTGCACCAGTACATCCAGAATGCTGGATACAAGCTGCCAAACTATTGAGTAAGATCTGCAACTCAATGCTGCCCAGCTTAATACCATGACGGAATGCAAGCTCATGCACTCGAACAAGTGCATCCCACCAGCGCCTGTGGCCGCATGTTTGCATTGCTGCGCCGACCACGCTCCCATCCACTTCGTCGACGTTAATTGCATCAGTCAGGGTTTCCAATAGCTCTTGTGGAGTCACACATTCTTTCAGGCTGCTTCGATGATTGCCGAATCTGCCGTCCCGGTATAGAGGCTTGTCTCTTGCAGGATTTGTGGGTGAAGCGAGGAAGTACTCTGTCCTCTCTTTCAATAGCATGGTGCCGCTGACTGACTGGAAGCTCTCGCTGGGTCGCAGCTTGGCCCTCTCCCGCTGCGAATACAGAACATGACGTGACCTGGAGTGTTTGTGTCTTGGCATTGACATTGAAAGGAACCGCTTGCAGGTAGTCGATGAAGCGAAAATGGTTGTGTAGCTGAAATCAAGCAGATTTTGGCCTTGCCAGGTAGCCGCTGCCCAAACTTCCCGCCGCAGAAGTATCCGCACTGGCTGAAGCAATCCAGACATTTTCACACAAAACGAGGGAGTGCTTGCAATGAGGACAGTGTCTGGTGCCCAGGCTGCAGAGAAAGTAGCACAACAAGAACTTGTCATCTTCAGACGCATGCCAAATGACAGTCCCGCAACGATTGGAGCTAGAATGGGGGAAATGTCCCTTCTACCAAAAAGTGCATCAAGTCCACTCCTACGAAGACCAGGAAGAAAAACGTCCTACTCTAGCAGTAGCGTTCACCTGGAATCTTGTTGGAAAGATTGATCCTCAGTGACTGTTTGCGAGCAAAAGAAGCATTTGTGCAACCAAGATGCAGCTCGAGCATGGAACCCATCACCGTGTAGGTGAAGCGGTCTGAGCCCTGATGCAGTGGAGGGTTGAGGGCTTTCCTCTCGGGCAGGTACATGGCCCGTGGCCGCCTGACTGCAACTCAAAGAAGTTAGTTACAGCTCGTCACAAAGCACATCAGGGTCTGACTGTAAACACCCAGATAGCACCAATAGCATCAACAAACCACGAATGTCAGAGCGCTCTTGCTGGGTTCAACTCTCTTGGCATTCAGGGGAAAGTTTAAGGTGTGGTCTTTGAACCTTCCGGGCACTTGAGGATGATAAGGCTTTCCCTGCTACACCGCTGTGTTTAAAGTTTAAGAAGAAGCGTCAGGGATGCTTGGCTTCAGGAAGAATCAGGCTTCAGCTCGAGTCGACTCGAGTCCTCAGGGTTTGGAGCTTCAGAGCTTCGCCGTGAAAAGCCTCTGAATGCAAAAATGATATCAACGGCTCACAACAAAATTCCCGGCAAGCCGAACAAACCTTCGTCAGGCTTCGCGTTTGCACACGGTAGCGACTCCAACCGACTCTGCGCATCAAAGGGGTATCAGGTGCACACCACAGAGTCAGGGCTGAGCCAAATTTCTGTCAACCGCTCAATGATCACGCACGAAGTCTCGAAAAGGTGTAGGGCCGGCACTCTTAGTCACCCCTCCGAACAAGCCACTTAGGAAAGTCCTGCCTGCTCGCAAACACGGTAAATCTCCTCCAGGGTGCGCTAGTGCAGGGTCTAAAGTGAGCTGCAGGATGCTTGTATGGTTAATGGCTGTTGTAAGGAATTAGTCCAGGAAGTGCTTGAGGAGACCCTTGTCTTGAAATTGCCACACAGACTTCTACCCATGCTCTGCTGATGTTTAGCTAGAGGGCCCCGCCTGTCAAGCCAGGAGAGCCCTGCAAGCTCTCAAGGGATCCTGAAAGACAACCTGATACAGCATCAGCAGGTCGCCATTTCACGAGTCAACAGAATTATGTTTTCTTATTCTGACCGCTCGTCAGCCTGCACAGTATATGACTTCAACAGCTGCTGTTGTCTCCCGTGCTACGGTGGGGGCTGCTCAACGCAGCTCATTAGGCGCAAACTCCAACAGGACGAGAAGAAATCTGTAGAAAGCTGGAGGTAGCTTTACGCTACGTGCTCCGAACCCATGACGCCCTGCTTCAGGAGGTACTCACATGAGCAGAAAGAAGATCTGCAATGAAAGAAGCCCTCAACCTTCCGGACTCCACCCCCCGGTGTCATGGATCGTCCGCGGTGCCGTGCCCTCGTTGCCTGGAAAGGTATGTTTATAGCAAGAGGTGCGGAATTGGGATGGCTCTACATTCTATGTTGTCTCGTCATGAAGTCTTGTGATGGGAGATATAATTTTGCTGTTTGTGATGTCTTCATTCTATGACTTACCTCAACCTATCCCTTTAATATCACTGTTCATAGATTTTTCCTTCACAGAACGCTTAGAGTCTGCATCAGCGTACTGCCTTCATAAACCCGCAGAACTTGAAGGATGAAGATTCCGGACTCAACGGCCCACACGGCTCTAGCTTGCCTCCACCAAAGTGCAAGGCTTCAGCCATGAGAACTAACATGGATTCTTCGGTTGCATCATTCGTACACCTCAGCTCACGAAATATCCTGCTACCTTAAGTAATCCAGATCTCCAGCCCCAAGCTGACCAAGCCCAAAATTCTGCAGGGCGTCGAGGCGTCCAGAAATCCTCTTCAAACTGCCCTGAGCTTACTACAAAGCGTGCATGCTGGTTCTTCCTGAGTCCACATGGCCATGCTCTTGTGGCAGCTAACGGCTGTATGTAACGTAGAGGCGTGCCAACAGCAACAACCTCCAACAGCCAAGTTATAAGGCAGAAGGAAGTGGTGAGAGGTTAAGACTTTTTGGGTTGGACGTTGATGGTTGTGATACCAAACGAGGACCTTTTCAAGGAATTTCCTCAAGCTCTCTTCCCCTGGCCACCTCCTTTACTGCTCACACAAAGTTTCAATGGCAAGGGCTCTTCTAAAGGAAGCGCGGCCTTGTATGTGTTTCATACCCCAGGCTGTCTTCTTGCAGCTACCTGTGTGTAGAAGCAAGCTATCCCTAGAGTGCCTGTATCGTACTTATTCTCTTGAGAAGCTCTTGAAGACAACCTGTGGCATACCTTTTTAAAGAAAGGAATGAAAGAAACACGCTGCAGATGAACCCAACCCAACGACCAAAACTGGGAACTTGCTGAACGACATATGGCATAGGGCATTCCAATGCGGGCCTTTCACCAATACCATTGCACAGCCGTTGTTGTGGGCTGCTCTTGGTCAGCACTGCTTGCGTGGTACAGCTTAGTAAGCCCTTAGCTCAGATTCAGGTCAAAATCTTCTGGCTGGCGTTGAACTTTCTTCACTCCGGGGAATATATCTTGAACGGCTACAGCATGATTGTCTCAGCCGCAGCAGGAAGGTGCCACACGGTTGTGCCTGGGATGAGGGCCCGTCACTGCAAGACCCTTAATTGAAGGCTGGAACTACGGGCCAACAATGGGCGCTCCACGTTTCCAACTTTTTCAGCCTGGGGCTTGCAGGTAAAGGCACTATGGCTCAGAGCTTAGAATTCCAGTTTGAGGCTTGTCATGTTCTTCAAGCTTGTTCTTGACCCGGTCATGCTTTAACATGAGACTCTCTTCTCCTTGCTAAGGCAGCCTAAGAACCAGTCTAGCACTTCAAGGTTGAATGAAGCTAGACAAAGCTGTGCGAGTGGCTGCCTTGCCAGAGAACTACGGTTCACCAAAATCACGCTGTGTCAATGTGGGTACAAGCTGTATGACAACTAGTTTCACTTAGTTGCAACATTTTTTCGTTTTATGCGCCAAAGCACTTGATGAGGAGACTGCCTGGCAACTGCCCTTTTAGGAACCAAAACAAGGATTGCAAAGATGATTCTGATACTTGGAGGCATTTTACAGGAGGAGCTCAGAGTTGGAGGATCCTCTCCCCCAATCCCTTGGAGTTCGAGTTTGGCTCCAACAGATTGGCTTACATCCTCTTTCGTGCTATATTTCGGCCGTGGCTCTCATGAAGCCGGTCTGCGGGCACATGACGGACGTGATGTCCGTATGATGGTTCTTCGTGGGCCATGCTGTCATGACCTTCAGGATGTCAGGTATTTTGGGGGCGCGAGCGGGCAACCTTTGGCCATCATGCATGCGTGGAGGCACAGCAACGTAATGCCCATAGCATTCTTCAGCAATTTGCAATATTGCGCATGTTTGTGCCATGAGACCGTGAGACGGGTTTGTCACCTAATCAAATCCTTAGCCCCAGTCATGACATGGACTGCAGCAATGCTTTCAAGATAAGGCTTCTTCATTCCCTAGAAGGCATCAGGTACTTGTGCCAGGGCTTGCTTTCCCTCAAGGCCTCTTGGCAGGCAAGTATCCTTCTCTGGGCTGACAGCTAACCTGAAAACCGCAACATGCTTATTCGTCCCTTTTTATCCAGCGTCAAGTTGGGATCACTTCATAATCAAACATTAGGAATATTAAGCACAACCACATCTTCCCCTTGGGCTTTCAAGGCAAACCTGCAAGATGCCCAGTGTGTCCCAGTTGGGAACACTGTACCTTCCAGCAAGACCCATGACCCCTAGGAATCCGTCCTACTGGGGAGCCCGATACTCAGGGGGAGTGTTGGAGGTTACTTGTCTCTGGTGAGGATACACTTCCTAAGCCCTGGGCACCTTGGTCATACAAGCTTCGTCCACGCCCTTCGCGCAGAAGGCAGCGGTGTTGGCCACGCCCGGTTGCCGGCGATTGTCATAGGCCGGGACCACCTGGAAATACTCAGCGAAGCTGGTCAATATGATGCCCTTCCTAAACACGATTTTCAAACAGGCCAGTGAGGAGGAAAGCGAGGGCTTCAAATTCCCCATTTTGAGTTGCTAATGCATATTCGTGGCCATCGATCACAAAGGTCATTGGCAAACAGCACTATCATGTCGGACCTATGTGTAGGCTGTACAACTACTGCAGACAAAGCCCGAGTTGCCAAAAGTCTCTCACAGGAACACAAGCAGATACTGCACATTGGATTCCACCCTAGGCTCAAAACCCTGAAGCCCGAGCACACACAGCTCTGGGCGGTGCTTCTTGCCGGCCGAAGCGCTGTCCAGGGGTCGTAGTTGGTTTGCAGTCGAAACCAGTCTGGCTGCCTTCTACTCAAAGATACTCCGACATACAACAGTCAAGAAAAAAAGAAGCTGTCTGACATGTTTTGCTGAGTCCTATCAACGGCTTGGCAGTCTAATGCAAAATACCCGACAACGTACATCCCAGCTGACATTCGAAAACCAAGAACACAGGGGCAAGTCAGTACGGCGGGATTGAAATTTGCACCTTTGATGTCTGTTAGCTGCATGACAAGAAGATACTGTCAGGTCAATAGAAAGCTGCTGCAGTTTGTCAGTGCCTGAGAGTGTCCGCAGTTTACATGCCGAGCAACCACCTTACTGTTGTTGTACGTCAGGGAGACCCTACACTAAATGAAAGGGCCTCCAACATAATTTCATTTAAAAACTACACATTCACTGTTCTGGTCAGGGACGCATCTCAGATCTAGCCCTCCTGAAGCATCTTACTTTCTCTGTTGGAATTCCTGGGCCCTTGCAAAGGATTCGCGAGAGTCATTCACTCGCATCCAGACCTGTTGCGGCCCAGTTGCTTGTTCACACCTTTTTTGTCCATGTCCTTGCGCTCAGATGTGCGCGGCGCGTATGTTGGTCCCAAAGTACTGGCATCATGTTGTGAGAAGCAAAGAAAAGAGGACCGCAGACTTTGACACAAACCCAAGTAGAAGCCCAAGTATCTTTCGGGAATCAGGCTTCACACACAAAAAGAACTTCACATCCCTACTCTTGCTATTCTTATGGAGCTTCTGACTTTTGCTCATCTACCGCTCCCCCATTCACTGGCTGTTGGTGGGGATGGAACAGCGGATCGCTGTAGTAGCGCCTATATAACCCCAGATAATATCACAATTTCCTTTGTCTGTTCCATTCCATAAACCCTAAACCCTACAGCAGCTTCCATGCTCTTTTCCATTCCATCATTGTACCAACCAGCAAGATAGTTGAAGCCCTAAACCCTACATGTCCCCATACATCCCTATATACCCCTACAACCCTTACATATCTCTACATCCCTCTATACCCCTTGTAGAAAGCTATATACCCTTCTGAAATATCCCACATACCCCTCTATCCCTACTAACCACCCGCAACCCTACACATCCCGCTACACCCGACATAATTTAATGTATTTCTGCATGTGTCTCCCTACATGTTTCTGAAAAGCCCCCCAAATTCCGTAAAAAGCCCCGAAACGCCTGGGCTCCGTTGAGCCGCCAAGCATGGCCGCCGTGGCGGAAGCGGGTGAGGATGCCACCCTGCACTCGAGAGGCTGTGCGGGTTTCAAGGCTTGGGGGTTTAAATGTTTTAGAGTTTATAGAGATTGAAAGGCTTGGGGGATTTCAGGGGTTGGGGTTTTGGGTCAGGGTTTTTTGGTTTGGGGCTTTACATAGAGGTTAGGGCTTAGGATGTACGGTTTATAGTATGGGGAATAGGGTTTGGGGGAACTGAACAAATTAAGAGTAGAACACGGTATATAGTGGATACAAGGGCACTCTAGAAAATGGATTGTCCAGGCTTAGGGAGGAGTAGAAACTACGGAACACACGATTTCAAGAAGACTGTAGACTATGGATATGACATGATTACGTAGTGCGGATCAAGCACTTTTGTTGGAACTCCATGGGGATTGAACGGCACGGCCTTAGAATGAATTTTTACTTCATGGGCAAGACTTCAGGTGGGGAATGTGCGATGGCATTTTTTGGTCCAATTTTACAAAGCATCGAGCCGTATTTTGCATGACTTGTCTAGGTTGCTAGGGCAACAGGATGTGAAAGACTCTGGCATTTAGGAAGGATCTTGCTATGTTGGCAATATGCAGCAAGCACAAGGGCGAAGATGCGTAAGGCGTGTTTCGGATGCGCTTCTGCCTGCCCATGCTCCGCCCCCGCGAGGACGAAGTATGCAGGGTTCGCAAGGCGCTCCAACAACAGGAACTGCCTGACTCAGAATGGCAGCACCAGCATGATCCACAACTCTGGACTAGAACCAATCAAAAACAACAGTGAACATGACAATGCAGATGACTAAAGCATTATGATACTTCTTGATTCCTTCTAGCAGTGTACCGTCCCTTCTTTCTGAGGTCAACCGACCTCTTG